GTATTATATTTCTTTTTTAAATGATAGGCCTGAGTATCATATTAGTAGCAGTAGACCTACTTGTGAAAATGTTCGACCTGGGAAGTACTGCCACCTTACCTACTTCTGCCGCCACGCATGCACGCATTACTGCGTTCCGATTTTGAAGGGTAAGGGTGCTGGTGTAATTACGGCCACATGAGACTTGTCAACGTATATCGCAGGGTGACAGGTGCAGTGGCACTGCCCTTCAGATTTGCGATTTAAAGCTCTGAGTGGCACTGTAACTGTTATAAACACGCGTGTCATTTTGAGGCGTCACCACCAGGCGCACGACTTGTTCGTCTCGTCACAGCATCTTAGAAAATATATATTTCTAAAAGGCAAATATTTAAATATCGAATTTCTTCGCGTCTATCTCCCACGCTTAAAAGCCTACGCAACCACAATACAATTTCACCTAAACGAGACCGTATATAGTTCTAGTCTTATCTAGACTTATCCGATTCCAACCGGGTTCGTCAAACAAGCGTAATAATTCCATACATTTACTCGTGAATTCACGCTTCAGTGTGTCCCGAGCCCCATAATATTTGCCTACATTAGAATTCATAAGATAGTTATCAGGACCTAAAAGCACTTCAGCTGTGTTGCCAATTTGCCTATATGGATCTGCGTAGTGACATGAGTTGATCTATGAAGTAGCTTGAACGTTATATTTTTTTCCTCTCCTTCGAACAATTTGAGCTTAAGGTTATATAGAATATAAGTATATATATAAAACATTGCAATTTATTTAGCTCTGTATAATCTTATTAATAAGAATATCTGCCGCGTGTCAGACGAGTCGTGGGGTTACCTATCACAAACTCGATTTTTTCTTTCCGAAATAACATTCGTTTGAATTTTCATTACACCAAAAACCGAATTATAATGAAACCGTTGTACTTTCAGGGTATGTTGGATGTTTATCGCAAAGACACGATTAGGTTAGGTTAAGTTAGGTTTAAAAGAAGGAAAAACACATTTTCCTCCAAAAATTACTTTCAAGGTTATGAAAATTCGAGTAAACGTTGTTCCTGGAAAATGTCATTTCAGACTACTGATAGATAACCGTCGTGGGCTAAGGCCACCACAGAATGAATCCCCCAAATAGATAACGACCATGCGGCAGGCCAAAGCGTCGATGGAGCAACGAGCTAGACGCGCACCTAAAAGTTTGGACCTCAGTGGCGCAAAACGGAGAGACGTGGAGAGAGGGGAGGAAGATCCTTGCCCAGCAGTGGGACAGTATAGGGCTATTTGCGACTGTGTGAAGACGATTGTTAAAAACAGTCGATCAACATTACTACTTTACCTTAGGAAATTACCAAAGACCAAACAAATATAAATTACTGTTCTTCATTATTATAAATTACATTTTTATAAAAATGTAGGCAGTATTTCCTCTCTGTATGGCTGCACTGAAAAATATAATGAGATTGAAAGAAACAAGATATTGTATAAGGTGATCATGTTTCTTGCTTCCCCGTGTAATATATAGTATCAAATGTTTCAAAACAAGTTTACTTTGGTATAAGCAAAAAATAACGTCATTTTTTTCTTTAATATCTTTCGTTATAATTTTTGCGTAATATGAATGTGGTGTACAATTACAATTGAATGTCACATTTATAATGTCACATGCTACAATATGTCTTAATTACTGCATCGAAGATTTAGAAAAATTCTTTCAATCCGTCTAGATACGAACCGCCACGGTACGAACCAGCGGACCTTACGAATTTTTCTATGTGCTTGTTTTCTATATGTTTGTTTTGGGTTTTGACGACTTATTTGGAGTAATTTCATAAAAAGTAATTGAATATCATGGTGATTAAACATACTTTTCATTTAAGAAAATTAATCACACATGTCTGTTCTGTTATTGTACATTTTAAAATAATAATAAAAGAATATACCAACGTGGCTTAGTTGGCATAGCGTCTGACACGGTTTGCTAGAAGAATCCGGCCGGACGGAAGGAATTTTATCTAAGTGTTTGATCTTTGTATTAATATTTATAACAAACTAGTGGAGTAATTTCAGAAAAAATAATTCAATGTAAATTCAATAAATATTTTATTAAAAAGTTAATAGCGTCATTTTTAGCCAGGGCTAGTAGCTGTAAAGGTATCTAACTGGGTGACGAAATACTTTCATACATTTTTCGTAGATGGCACTACGGCTAAAAAGTCGTTGAAAAACCAAATACAAAGTCCGACGACAAGCACATGGAAAAAAATGAGGTCCGCTGGTTCGTTCCGTTGCTTAGTTGGCATAGCTTCTGGTACGGTTTACTAGAAGACGTCGGTTCGAATCCGGGCGGATCGAAGGAATTTTTCTAAGAGTTCGAGCTTTGTATTAAATTACAACAAACTAGTGGAGTAATTTCAGAAAAAATAATTGAATATCGAGTTCTTAGGTTTTCGCGATTGTTACACATAGGAAATGAAACTATTTTTCCGGATTTAAATCGCGTATATTTGTTTTTTCAAATAAACCTATTTGTGTATGTATGTTTATTGTGTATGGTTTGTTTGAAAAAACAAATATACGCGATTTAAATCCGGAAAAACAGTTTCAAGTTAAAGAATAAATAAATAAATACAAAATGAAAAACAAGATTCCAATTTACGCCACCACCACATTGAAAACACAAATATTGCGTATATTTAGATCATATAAAATTGATTTATTTTCAATATTTTATTACAATTTTCTTGCACGTTCTTCTCGGGAGACGCTAAAACAAAAAAGCAAAACCCGCACTTAGTTGCCTACTTTATTTAACTTGGTTTAGTACACACAATTTGTTAATTTTTATTAATTATTACGTATTTTTTTCGTTTTTGTTTTTGTGTTTTCACTATGAACCGACGAAAGTATGAAAGCAATGTTACGCGTTGATAAAGCGGCAGATCCAATGGTCCTGACCATAGCAAGCGAAGTGCCCCAATAGAAAAGAGCGTGAAGTGTACGCATGTATAAGTTTTATTTCTGTTTTTCTTCTTTTTTTTATTATTTGATATTGTTGTTATAGCATTGCGTACAAGGACGTCGTTACACGTATCTTATAACTTTGTAACTCAACGCCATACCATACAAATTGATATCCAAACTTACAGACTGAAACACGTGCGGAAACTTTCTAATCTCACTTTGAGAATAGCTATCCTCAAATCTGGTCATTTGTATTCGACGACGGAACAACGACTGCTATCCCGGGCGTACCGGAGTTTGGCAAGTTCCCGGGTTCTATGGGGGCCAATTAATGAGGCGATTAAACTAAATTAGGCTAAGGCGCAAACGGCCAACTCGAGTTGACGAGTGATATCTTTGGGATGAATTTATTGCCTGTCTCTTTAAATATTGTACAATAGATATTTGGGAGTAAGTGATTGCGCAAGTGCTTTGTTACGAACGTAACATTTGCTCATAGACAACCTCCCTGGTCGAGAGGCTTGCACACCGGTTTTTATGGTGTCACCATCTTTGAGGTCTCCGTCTCGATTACTGGCCGGGTCAATGTAGAAAAACACTAACTTTTCTATATTCTCTCGGGTCGGGGTGTTGGGGGTCGGGGTGTTGGTGGTACTGTCGTTGTTTTCGATTTCCACACCACAAGTACTTCAGTTACTTACTTTGGGAACAGAGCAACGTATAAGATGTTGTCTAATATTTATAATTATTGATTTATTGACTTATCGTAATCATCAAGCCAGTCGACGTTCAACTGATAGGCACTGATCTCAAATATCTTCGAGTTTTTGCCATAGTCCCTATGATAGCAAAGCGGATTGGCGTTTCACTTTTTTCAAGGATTGTGAATGTTTGCGCAATTAAGTATGATTCAGCTGAGTTAAATATTATTTGTTTACCTATGAAGTAAAAATCTTTAGGCTTTGATTTGAAAAAAAACCAAAGTTATGATACTTCAGAGCGTCAATTGGAATCGTTGAGAATTGAAAGTCTAGCCTTGAATAGCCCTAAGCGGATTTTTGGAATGTCGAAATGTTAATTTATGTCGTGACGTTATAAATCATATTAATAATTAAACATAGACAGAGAATAAAAAGTAACGATAAAGGTCACTCGCTTTCAGCCCCTCCCTTGCTTTAGATACCATTCCTCGCCCGGCATATTGTTGCGACATTGAAGGAACTGCAGCTAAGGCTCTTAGCGAGCCGTTCATTAGGAACGACTACAGTTTAATTTTTTTCATTACAAACGTACGTTACTATCATGATGGTCGTGGTTTTGCCATGTACGATTGTTTATCTAAATGGGATAAAGAGAGGAGTTTCTTTCGCTTTCCGAAAGATGAAACGACGTACTTATTACTTACTTTTGTCTGGGACCCATGTTATTCAGAATTATTGGTTTTCTTCACTTATTAAGTGTAGAGTAAGTTCATGTTTATTTCTTAGTACATAATGCATATTAAGTATTATATTAATATAATGAGACGCCCTAAGTTCGTGAACTAGTACACAAGGGTTGTCGAATTTTCTATTTGTATTGGCGATAAATATGTAGTGAATATAAGAGTATTAACTTTATCAAAAGTTGTAAACGTAATTTCAAATAACTTGTTTGATAAAAAGTACCTGTAAAAAGATTTTTTTAATATAAAATAGTTGGCTTGTTACACCGCTCTTACAAAGTCACTGTGCATGTTAAACCAGAGAAAAAATAGTACGAAAAGGTTATGGATAAACCAATCATTTCAAGCAAATATTTGCGCGTCTACAGACAGCGCCTTTCTGCACGTAGTAGTAGTAAGTAAATAACTTTCTACCGTTATAGTATCCAAGATATGATAAAGATAATGAACAATTTTATACTTTTTTAGATTGCTATAGTCCTAAATAATATTAAATAAATGTAGTTTAATGTATTTTCATATTATGCTTCGCTATGTTTATACTGGCCTTAGCTTTTTTAGAATATCTGGATTATTTTCCTAAAATGTCACTTACCTGCAGGTTCACATAAGGTGCGTCTGCCATGACAGTAGGCACGATGAACCCCCCTTCACCCGTCGACATATCGATGTCTTGACTATAGATATCTGTTTTGTCATCGTAAAGCTTCACACGGACTCGAACGCGCTTTTCCGTGCTCATTGCTTCTACCTGAAAAAAAAAAAAGAAATTGTTGAAAAGCAGAAATCATACCAATTAGTTAACCTAACCTAAGTTTTATTTCTTTTCTGATATCAAGTGACGGGTAAATCGCAAAGATCTGAGAGACACTGCCACTGCACCTGTCACTCTGAGAGCTTTTATATTGCAAAAAAAGTCCATTTGCATAGGTACGGATTCCTCCATGGGAGCCATGCCAACAACATTTTAAAGATTTGGTTATAATCACTGTACCGAACCTATAACATCATAGTATTGCTGACAGGACTTTTAAAGCGGAGAAGAAAATTTGAGACAAATGAAGAGCAAATTCGGAGAGAGGCCACTTGGAGTAAGACCCACTGATTCTGACAGGGTACTCATTATTCAAAAACGAGCAATGAAGATACTTGCCGGAATAACACGAAGAGTCTCTTGTAGGGACTTATTTGTGAGACACAGGATAATGACCATGTATTCGTTGTATTTATATGGAATAATCACATTCATACGAAAAAACTTACACAACTTTGAAAGGCATGAAAGCCGTTATAACACTCGCTCCACAGGACGACTGAGCTTTGTACCGCAACGGTTAGCACTCACTGAAAAAAATCCGCGCGTAATCGGCCCGGCTTATTATGACCTACCCGTTGACTTAAAAAATGAGCCTAATGATGAAACATTTGATCGTCGACTGAAAGACTTTTTGTTGGATAATGCGTATTATTCCACTGAAGAATATAGGGGCATGGTCTTGTAATATATGTTGTAATTTATAGATTATTAGGTATAAATATTATTTTACAGAAATGAATAAATTACATAAACTTTATGCATACAATCATTATATTGACATAATTATTATTATATTATTTAATATTTTCCTACATTATTTCACATAACTGCATTAACTATGTTAAAATTACGTAGTACAAAACTTACTTACGTACTGGATATTTGTAATTTTTTGAAATGTAAAATTGATTACTATTTGTAACGATTCTTGTTATATAATATATTGTATAAATAATAATGTAAAGTTTACAAGATAATAAATATATCTAAATGTAAATCTAAACCAAAATTAAATATTATGACGCTGTCTCCAATATCAGTCCGTGAAATTATTTAACGATTGCGGATTATTACTGACATAAAACTATTTAAAAAATCTGTTGTACATTTTACACCCCTCATGGAAGAATGGCATAAGTGGAATTACGTCAAACATGTTTGTTGCACCATTAGACACAGAATAAGATCCAATTAGAGAGGATGTGGGTTATATTTTTCTGTATATAACCCACATCCAATCCAATTAGAGAGGATGTGGGATATATTTTAATTGTTAATTGTTGTTTTTCATTTTTAATTGATTGTTTTAATAGGAAATGAAACTATTTTTCCAGATTTAAATCGCGTATATTTGTTTTTTTCAAACAAACCGACGTTTCGGGCCCTTTATGGGTTCCATGATCACGATTGACTGAGGTGATACAGTCTTCAACCAGTTATGTCTAATATTAACATGGGTTTGTTTGAAAACACAAATATACGCGATTTAATTCCGGAAAAATAGTTTCATTTCCTATGTGTAACAAACGCGAAAACCTAAGAACGTGATTGTTTTAAATTGTTCATTTTGACCAATAATAATTTATATAATAGGGGTTAAAGTATGAAATTGCCGATTTGTACTGAAAAT